CATCATGTTAGCTGGCAATGGCTTATAACCAGAGTGGGAAGTGGCCAGAAGACCGTCTAGCTAAATTCTTGTTCTCCAAACCCAGTGCAGATCAGCCCACACACTCCAGGCCATTGTGCACTAAAGTAAGGGCATTGTGCTAACAGAGTACAGTGGTGCCCCGCAAGACGAATGCCTCGCAAGACTGAAAACCCGCTAGACAAAAGGGTTTTCCATTTTTGAGCTGCTTCGCAAGACGATTTTCCCTATGGGCTTGCATCGCAAGACGAAAACGTCTTGCAAGTCTTGCGATTTCTCCCCCCCCCCCCTTTTTCTAAGCCGCTAATAGCCTTTTAGCCACTAAGCCGCTAATAGCGCTAAGCCGCTAATAGGGTTGCTTTGCAAGACGAAAAAACCCCTAGACGAAGAGACTTGCGGAACAGATTAATTTTGTCTTGCAAGGCACAACTGTACATGGTTTCCTGTGCCTTGAGCAACAAAGCTGGCAAGCGTTTCATAGGAAAAGATGTTCAGAAAACCTGAGGCACCAGTTTGCTGCTCCATGATGTGATGGCTACTGACTCGCAGAGCTTTGTAAGAGGATTTGACAAAGTCATGGAGGGGAAGGCCATTGATGGTTGCTAATCATGGCAACTGTGTACTACCTCCAATGTTGTGAGTCAGTCTGCCTCTGAATACACACTGATGGGGGTCACAAATGGGAAGAGTGCTGTTCTGCTCATGTCTTGCTAGTGAGCTTCCCAAGGACATCTGGCTAGCTACTATGAGATCAGGGTGCTGGGCTCAATGGGCCCTTGGCCCGACTGAGCAGGGCTTACCTTATGCTGTGCATGGGATGCCAAAAAAGGCTTCCCTCCTGATGCAAATAGCAGCTGGGGGAGCAATTTTCGTCAGGTCCATTGCAGGGCAGGATAAAACCACTTCCCCCTGCTATTACTTAGATAACAACAATGTGCAGGTTAGTTGCATTCATTGTCCTCTCTGTCCTATAGCATTTCCTTATAGATTTTGTTATTGAACATTATGTAAGCACCAGCCAAGCCCTTCCCCAGTACATGCACAGTTTGATCCAAAAAGGCAGATGATGCGTTTTTGGAAATAATCCACCAGCAGCAAGGGCAGATGTTCTGTAGTATTGTTGGGCCTGAGTTATATGACCGAAAGATTACTGCTTAGTTAAAGGCATGCTGTAAAGCTGTTCAGGGCTATTTATGGTGTGCAAGAATTAGATCTTTTGAAATGCTCTCCCACATCCAGTATAACTTTGGCTATGAACGTGTAAATACACTGCACTCCGCACAGACGTTTGAAATGTTTTGTGTCGCTAATAGATTCTGCAGTGTTGAGCCAAATTCCTATGCACTCCTCTGACTTTTCTTTCAGTGCTGCTTGACATTCCCTCTCCCAATGCAAATATTGATTCTGCTTGTTGCTCAAGGTGAAGTCCTGATTGTTTTTGCACATCCTGTAGGAGTAGATCATTTCTGTATTTGAAAATGGATCATGGGTGCCTTACCTTTATAGAAGCTACTCACTGAACCAGCAGAATGTTGATGACACAATTATAGGAGTAGGTCAGTTATGCATGTGAAAATGCACCATTAGTTTCTATGGTGGGTGCTTGTTAAGCTGCTCAGCTGAGGCATGGAAGACTCCCTTCACCTCTTTGGGTTCTAGGGTGGGACTTTCCAAGGGAGGTACATTCCGGCACCTTTTTCTCTAGGGGGGGAAAAGCACTGATTGTGAGTTCTACTTAATATCACAGCTCTGGATTTCACTTACTTTGGTGATTTTTATTTTAGAAATGTTGACCTAGTTAAACATTCAGAAAAAGAACAAAGGTTGTCAACTCTATAAATACCTTGAAAAGGGAGCATAAAATTAATGGCATAATGGAGCACAAAATTAAATACAGCCTACTAAAAGCTATGTTTTGTTCCCGAACTATTAGTGCAGATTGACTTTATCGTGCAACCATAAATGGAAAAGTTGTCAAACTGCAAGATGGAATTCTCTTGGTCTTAAGGGGGAAGGGGAGTTCAGCGCGGTGGAAGATCACATGCTGCTTTTAAAAATAATAATTTGTTTTGGGGTTTTAGGAACAAGGATCATAGGATACAAATAAATAGACCAAGTTATCTCATGCCATTTGTATATCACAAAACTAGCATAATTAATTTTCAGTAATATCTGCAACATAAGTGGTCAATGTATAGGTTCTTGGTTTGTGAATTGATTTGAACAAAAACAAAGGGGAAGCAGGATAGAACAGAAATAAGTGAGAACATTAAACATCGCATAGCTAAACACCTAATCAGGAACCCATGTGGTTGTGCTTAGATTAAGTATGAGTAGTAGTCATTTTTCCGCTTATGATACCAATGAAACAATGGTTTATTGATGAACATAGGAGGGAGGTTCAAAGTGAACATAATTTATGTTTAAATTTAAATTTGGATCAATCAGATTGAGCCAAATGCTGATGGGGGAAGCGTTGTTCATTTTCTGGAATACTGGCATGTTATGAAATTTTAAAAAGCATGTCCCTTTTATACAAAAGGTCCCAGGCTCACTCCCTGGCATTTTCAGGTATGGCTGCGGAAAATCCCCTGCCTGAAAAGCCTTTGCCAATCAGTTTAGATAGTTCTGAGTTAGTTGAACTCAGTACATAGAAGCAGCTTCCTGTATTGCTAAAGGCCAGCTTCCAGTCAGAATACCCACAGAACTGTAGGCCAAGTTAAGGTGCATGTCTCCTTCCACAACTGTCTCAAATTTCAGTGGTTCACAGCAAAATCTTCAAACAGAAGATCAGAGGATGTAATGCCCATGCACACTGTAAACTCTTGTTTCCAAGTGGAGGCCTGGTGTTGAGCCTAATGTAAGACTAACCTGTCAATTTAACTGTGTCCAGCAGTCAGATTGCTTGCTAGTTTCTATATCGCTGCTTCCACAAGAGAGGCCGTAATGGGAAACTTCTACCCTCATTAAGTCTGCAAAGACTTGTTCTATTACTCTTTAAGGCTGAAACATTTTGTAGATTGATATTCAAGCCTGAACACTGTGCTTCTGTTCAGAAACATAATCTCCCCACCACCCTTTCTACACACCCACACCCAGGGTATAGTGGACTAACTTCTGCCATATAAATTTGTTCGACTTTAATGTGCTACAGGACGCTTTGTTTTTGCTGCAAAAGGGTAATATAGCTACCCCAAGCCCCTGGAAGTTGAATTCAGGATTTGTCTCATGCAGTGATTTATTCTCTGCTGTTTAAGACACTGGAGAGACTTCACTGCAAGAAGGCCAGATGTCTTTTTCAAAGTCTCAGTGCAGCCACAGAGCAAGTAGGCCCTTCTTGCATTGTAAAAGTTAGTACACCTTAGTGTTTCTCCTAGAAAGAAAGAATTTAAAAAGTTGCTAAAACCATGGCAGGGTGGCAAGCCTGTCCTATGTTATGATTGTTTTATTAAATTTGCATCCCACCCTTTCTTCTAAAGGAGTCCAGGACAGCAAACACAAAAGTGAGAATAAAAAATAAAAAACTACATAAAACAATTTAAAACATCCAAAGAAATTTAAAATGGTCATAACCATCTAAAAACATGTAAAACAATCATATATAGAGGAGGAGATTTCAGAAGTCACACCTATAATGAGTGGGCTACCTGTCTCACACATGAGAACAAAATACAATCCTGCCTCTGTCTTGTGATGAGGTTAAAGGAAGGTATGATATGAATACAGCTTCCAAGTGGATAATATCACCTATGCAGAATATTTTAATCCTTCATTATATGATTGACATCTTTCTGGGCATCTGAATTTGAAATACTTTTTAAGGTTTTGTTTTAGGTATTAACATCCCAAATCTGCCTTTTAAAAAAAAACTTTAAAACTTTATGGAAGCAGTGTGATCAACCCCAAAGAGAGACGTAAACTATCAGAATTATGGGAAATGGAATGAAAAAATGCTTTCTGATAATAAGATATTTAATACAGTGCATGTTTCCCAGGTGTTAAGGAGGTGACCTTTCCCGTGGTGGTATAATTCTGCTCCCTGACCAGCAGCAAAATTCATTCTGCAGTATTTTAGCCAAGGAAGCAAAAGATCTTGTAGGCCTTATTTATGTTCAAGTGTAGATTTCCAGATGAGCAAAATGAAAATACAGTGGTACCTCAGGTTACATATGCTTCAGGTTACAGACTCTGCTAACCCAGAAAAATTACCTTGGGTTAAGAACTTTGCTTCAGGATGAGAACAGAAATCATGCAGCGGCAGCTAAGGTGGTGCTTTAGGTTAAGAACAGTTTCAGGTTAAGAACAAACCTCCAGAATGAATTAAGTACCTAACCTGAGGTACCACTGTACTTGCGATGAGGTGCTCAGGCAGCTTTCTCTTTCATGGGGACACTTGGCCTTCCGTGGCCCATCAACTGTGGAGGTGGCTGAGCAAGAGTAGAGAGAGGTAGTAGTAGATTGCGTTACGTGGTGGTTATGTTAATAATACTGCTTGTAGCTGTTAATATTTCTAAGAATTTTTCTTTAGGGGTCAATCTAATCTTAAGTAGTTATTCATTGGTCCCACAACTGTGAACTTCAATGGTTCATTAATAAATTTAATCCAGGCACCGCTTTGGCCTGGATACCCTTGGTCTCAATAGCGAACTCCTGTCACATGTTTGCAGACCATTCCGTCGCTCGGTCTTTGCCAACCTGGTGCCCTCCAGATGTTTTGAATCACTGCTCCCATCAGCCCAAGTCATATGCCATTCTGTTAAGTGTGCTAGGAAAGTAAAGAGGAGTGTTCCAAACTCGAGAAAACTACCATTGTTGAAGTCACTTGTGGCCTTTTGTCTTCTCAATGTGTATAGCACACCAGTGTGTGGTAGTGGGACCCATAGAAAGAGAGGGCTTTTGCAGGCAGCTGGGTGAAGACCTGGAAATGTTTTGAAAATGACTGGAAAGTGTAAGTTTGTGGTGTTTTTTCTTTTCTTTTGCAGATGTGCTACTTAAGACCTGACAGCAGCTTTTAAATCTGGAGGTACTATCCAGAGAAGTTTCGTTTCCTTCCAAGGCAGGCCTTCAAGATGTGGACAGCTGTTGGGTCTTTTCTGTTGATCTCCTTATGTGTGTCTGAAAACGGCAGCTCCATCTTAAAGGAGAGGGGGGTCCAGGTAACACATGTACATCTGCTCAGCAGTGAAAAGCATTGCAAGCAAGCTTGTAAAGGCCCAACAGCATCAGGTAAGATTACCTCACCTGACCATAAATCTTTTCCTTTGGGGCAGGAGGCGTCTGCTTAGGTCTTTCACAGCATTTGTGATTATGGCTGCTACATACGCAGTAGCTAAATGACTTCACAACCTTAGTCAAATTGAAAACAGCATCCGTTTTCCAGGGACTGCCTTTTCTCTATTTCTTTTTTACAATTTTACAATGCAGCAAGCATAGAAGAGCCTTTGTGTGTAACACTAGCAAGGAAATTGTGTTAGATTACTTAACATACCCTTCAGCCAGATGTCTCTGTATTTGATGAAGTTTCACATTCTTCTGTGTCCTTGTTGCCCTGTTACCTGAATGCCCCAGAGATCCTTGGAATGGATTTGCAATCCAGTTTGACATGAGCTTCATGGGTGACTTAATCAAACCCCTTGGAACTTTTGGAGCTTCTAGACTCGGGGTGACTAAATTATTCCCCCCAGATGTTGCTGGACTACATCCCTGACAATTGTCCAAGCTGTCTGGGGCTGTGGTGAGTTGGAGCCTGACAACATCTGGAGGTTCATAGCTTTGCCCACCTCATTCTAGGCTTAAATCATCCCTGACAGATCCTCATCAGTTTCCCTATTTAAAGGACGTAAGGGAAGAGGACTTCAGTTTCCCAAAGCAACTTTTCACGTTACCTAGCTTTTATGGATGCTGCTATAAGTTAGGAAGTGGTTGGGTTTGCTCTCTTGTGGCTCCCCCCGCCCCCCGCCCGAAGCTGCTTATCATGCCCCTACCACCAATCTTCTCTAAGTAAAATGTGCCCAGCTTCTTATCTTGTCATCGTAAGACACAAATTCCAGTCCAGCATTGTCTACTTCATTTGGCAGGGAGGTTCTCCCAAGTCCTCAGATGTGGGACTTTTCCTAGTTTTCTTGCTGGAGGTTTTCTTAACTAACAGTTCAAAGGTCGGCCCCAACAACATTCTGCATTCAAAGCACGTGCCGTGTGATGCAAGTCTTTGTAGCTGCCTTCTCCTTGTATCTTGCTTCTACTTTTTATCTGAAGGGACTTGCCTGGAGCTTGTAAGCCAGGGGTCAGCAAACTTTTTCAGCAGGGGGCCAGTCCACTGTCCATAGCTGTCAACTTACAGATTTGAAAATAAGGGACCAGCAGCCTTGAAAATAAGGGACCAGCAGCCAAAATAAGGGACCTGCAGCCTCACCTGTTCCAGGCACTCCAGTCTTCCTGTCCTCCTGCAGTCTGGTTAAACTCATGCTGGTAGCTTCGAGAACACTGTCTAACCAACTTTGTAACCAGAGGTTCAACTGAATAGAATCTGAATCACATGTACCACAAGGCCTATGCAGCCTCAACTTAAGATGGCTCCCCGGCCTGGCTTTGCACTGCAAAGTTTGCAGCAGCACGTACAACAAAATGGCGTCCAGCATTCAAAAAACCCCTCAGCTTGCATTAACTAGCCACACACAAGGCATGCAAGCTCCACCCCCCAGTTGTTCTTAGACTTCTTATTGGGTGAGCAACACAGCCAAGCAACATAGTTGGAGCCTCCCTCCTCCCTGGCCGGCAGGGAGGGAGGGAGAGGAGCTGCTTCCTTTGAAATTTGAGGGACATCATTTAAGGGACATTTAAGGGACATCCATCAATAAGGGACAGCAGCGGGACATGGCGCTGGAATAAGGGACTGTCCCTTCAAATAAGGGACACTTGGCAGCTATGCCGCTGTCCCTCAGACCTTGTGGGGGGCCGGACTATATTTGGGGGGGGGAATGAACGAATTCCTATGCCCCACAAATAACCCAGAGATGCATTTTAAATAAAAGCACACATTCTACTCATGTAAAAACACGCTGATTCCCGGACCGGATGTAGAAGGCAGTTGGGCCGGATCTGGCCCCCAGGCCTTAGTTTGCCTACCCATGTTGTAAGCTTTCTGTCCCACTAACACTGTTTACAACAAAACTCTTATTGTAACTGGACCCCTTTGAATCCTCACTCATTACTTGCACACTAGCCCTTATCTGTGACATTATTGTCCTTGTTACAGATAGGTAGCCGTGTTGGTCTGCCATAGTCAAAACAAAAAAAAATTCCTTCCAGTAGCACCTTAAAGACCAACTAAGTTAGTTCTTGGTATGAGCTTTCGTGTGCATGCACACTTCTTCAGATACACTGAAACAGGAGTGTCCTTGTTTACTCATTTTTTCAGGGAAGCAGTATAATATTGTTGACAAATTGTTGCAGTCTAGTATTTGTGCTGTTCATTTCCCAGATGATTAGAGCTTTGTATGAGTTTTAATTTGTTTTAGTCTATTTTATTGCAGTTTTCATTCTCTGTATGTTTTAAATCACAGTTGTAAAATTTTGGTAATGATTTTATTGTTTTGTCTTTTTTTTGGTAAACCGCTTTGAGGTTTTGTTCTTCAATCAAGCGGTATGTACATTTTATAAAATAAAATAAGTAAAAATGTCACCATACTAAAACTCTGCTAATAGGATAAAATGTGATTCATTTTATACCAGTGAGAGTGATGGTCTTCCTTTCCTGTGTGATATTCTAGGTAATCTCTACTGCTGGTCAGTGCTGTATCAGAGCCGCTGTGTCCTCTTGCGCTGTCCTCAGCTGAGTGCATGTCAGAACGCCAGCACACAGGATGTTAAAGAACTAATGGGAGGTAAAAAACCTGCTGCTGCAGCAGCTATTGCTATTACTAAAGGCAACATTCTCTTACCTCACCATCCAGATGTTTACAGTGTTTAATGGGGGCTCTATCAGATTTCCACAAGTTTCATTTGAGAGGTAAAGATTCTTTGGATGTGATTATAGGCTATTTTGCGAGACTGATTATTTATATTAAAAACATATACCCCACCTTTCTAGGCAGAATATTCAAGGTGTCCTAAGACAAAGCAGTCTAATGTAACAATATTAAGTATAATATTAAAAAACTGGCAACAGTTAAAAGCTGCAGAATCAGAAGGACAAAAAAAGCCAGGCAGAGAATTAACTAAAGAAAAAAAAACCCTTCCAAAAGAATACAGTTTTCAGCATAACAGTGGGCAATGAGGAAAATACTCTGAGGGAAGTATTCCATAATCTGGATTCCAAGATAGAAAAGGCTCCCCACCCCACCCTAGGAATGCCATGCTCTTTCAATCTTCCCATCTGTGGAAGCATTTCAGTCTGCCAGGTGTAATGATTCCTCCCTCTCCTCCCCCTGCACATTATTTTTCTTTTTTGGGGGGGGGTGTCTCCCAATCCATTTTCAGTGTGCAGAGGAGAGGGGAGAGGTCCTTGTTCAGGGCTTCCACTAGCAGGGCTGGTTAGGTGAATCCCTTCCAGGGTCTAACCAAGAAGAGTTTCAAGAAGAGTTTGGATCTGATATCCCGCTTTATCACTACCCTAAGGAGTCTCAAAGCGGCTAACATTCTCCTTTCCCTTCCTACCCCACAACAAACACTCTGTGAGGTGAGTGGGGCTGAGAGACTTCAAAGAAGTGTGACTGGCCCAAGGTCACCCAGCAGCTGCATGTGAAGGAGTGGGGAATCAAACCCAGTTCACCAGATTATGAGTCTACTGCTCTTAACCACTACACCACACTGCCTCTCCAACTCATGACCAACTCATGAATCCTAGAGAAAGTTAGCTGAGTTAACTATGAATCTGATTATTTCCTGGGGAGTGGCAGAGGGTGGGATCAAGACAGCATGGTCTGCACCAGCAAAGGCCTGTGGGTGACTGAAGGGTCCGCCTGCCTTCTGATGCTTGGGAGGCCAGCAGGAATTGAGGATTATGAAGCAATCCTCCTGTGAGAGGGGAGGGAAGTGGGGGCTGGCACTGTCAGTACTTTGTCCAACCAGGTCCCACCAAAACCCTGTCTGACAATCCTGCCTGACACTAAGGCTCAGATATGAAATTGTGCGGTTTTGAAACAATTTGATTTAGATTGTCCCCCTTTTAAAAGTGCCTCTACCATTCCTTTTCTGGGTGCTCTTTCTGTTTATCCTTGCACCCTTGTTTCCCTGAGGAAAGGAGGTAATATTGGCATTCATTTCCTGTTGGTTTTCAAGCCAGAAACTGGAGGCTCTGTGTGTAATTGGAGTGGTTTTAGCATCCGTAGCTAACACTGGATTTTGCAACAGCTGAGTCTTCTGCTCTAATTGCAATTGACACCATAACAAAACGAAGCATGTTAGGAACTGGGGAATCAGTCTTGTAAAGGGTGTGAGAAAGTTCTGCTGTACATGCGTTTTTGAAAGGACAGCTTTTCATGCTTGTTTCTGGCCTTTAAATACTTCTCAGGAACTTAGCTGCCATGTTAAGTTGAACAGGTTCTTGCAGCCAAGAGCGAATAGTTGTGACAAGAAATACGTTTCTGTATTTTCTTTCTGATATTTAGCTGAGTTTGAATTTTGATCCAGAAAGGACTTCTAAGATGTGTTTTGTCCTTGAATAACAGAAGGATAAACAACCGGTGCCCCAGGAGCTCAATCACTCCCTTGGAGACATTCAGCTGTACACCTCTGCCAACTTTCTCTTGTGGCACAGGCTAAGGCTAAGTGATTTCTAAAAAGTCTTCTTCCCTTGCGTGAAAGACAAGGCTCTCTTTTTTATATATGTACATCTTGTGTACATCTCAGCCACTCCCTCAAGCAGACAAGACATGAGGTGTTATCAGGTGGGTCTCCAACAAAGTCTTTGTTACTGTCCCCTCTGAAGGGGGGGGTTAAGATCCCTTGACTTGTATGGGAGTCAGTCGGTGGAACCAGTCCTTCAGCCTTTGTTCAGTCTTTGCAATATGGCAGCTGCTTTAAAAATGTTTTGTTAATCATATGGGGATGGAGAATGGTTATATTGGAGTATATGCAGCATATATATAAAGCTAACTGGTGGTAATGAAGTTCTGCTACTGAAGATGTTCGCTTCTGTCATAACTAGTCTAAAAGATTTATGCAACCAATTATTTAAAGCAATATCTGCTCGCTTACTACAAGTTGTATTTGGGGTGCGTATTATATGTGTCAATCTATGCAATTCTATAGATGGAAATCAATGATGTATTACAGCTGGTAGATTCTATAGCTCTCCTTCCCTGCAGGACCTGACATCCTTCCGCAGGGCCTGCAAGACAGAGCTGTTCTACCAGGCCTTTGGTCAGGGCGCAGCCTGACCCCCTCCTCTGGCAATCGGCAATCTGCACAGAATTTTGCTTGATGGTTGCCATTAATTTGATCTTAATTTGATTTAATTAATTTTATAATGAATGTTTTTAGAATGTCGGATTATTTTGATTGTTGTTAGCCGCCCTGAGCCCAGCTTCGGCTGGGGAGGGCGGGATATAAATAAAATTTATTATTATTATTATTATTAAATGGAGGTGGCACCACAAAAGTACAACTCCCAGGACTCTTTTATCAACTGCCATTTGATCTACTCTTTATCTGCAGCCCATTCCTGATTGTGTCTCTGGTCTCTTGTTTTGTTTTTGGCCAGAATTTGTGATCCGTAAAAGGAGAGATCATGAAGGAGCCCTTCAAACAAACAACACAGGAAAGTCTGTTGGAGAGCAGGAGCTACTGAATAAAACAAGACTTGCTGAGACAGAAACAAAAGTGCCTCTTTTGCCAAAAGCTCCAGAGAGGAAGGTAGCAGAAGGTACTGCAGTCAGCACAACTACCACTGCCACTTCCACGATCGCTGCCATCTCCCAAGGTAGAGCAACAGCCATAACCACAGCTAGTAACAACGTAACCACAACTCATGGTAACACAACTCGTGGCATCCCAAATGTGACTTCTGGTCCCAGCACTCCCCCTCAGAAACCATTGTTGCCTCCCACACCTTTCCATTTAACTGAAAGTGCTATTACTGTTAACAGTACATCAAGTTCAAAAGGGGCGCAGACCAGTAAGTTAACTTTGGGAGCTGCTAACACAACAGAAACTCCTCCCAGGACTATTCCTACTTCTTTTGCCACAGCAGCAAACAATCCAGTGCTTCCCATAACCCTCAAAACAGGTATGGCAACTGGCACTCTTGTACCAGTGAACTCTAGCAGTGTTGGAAGCAGCTCAAGAAGCCCAGTAAACTCATCTTCAAATGCAGCTGCCCAAAATCCACCAGCATCAGCCACCCAGAATTCACTAACTACAGCCACCCAGAATCTATCAGCTTCAACCACCCAGAATCCACTAACTACAGCCACCCAGAATCCAACAGCTTCAACAGCCACTGGCATATCTCAGACAACCAAGAGACCAACCACAGTAGCAACAAAGTCAGCTGAACTCACAACAATTGTAAAAACAACTCCAGATAGGGTAATGCCTCGTGTGACTGCAAAGGGTGCTGAAACCACCACCGCTGCAGAGCAACCTGCGAGTGCTACGCGTCAACCAGTGCTTGTCACAACTTATATAAATCCCTTGTCAGTGTTTGCAACGAAAAGTCCAGTGGCACCGCCCAAATCAGTAACCATAAACCAAGGCCAAGATCAGCAGGACACAGGTAGTGAGGGTAGCTATCGTCCAGTAGATGTTAGTTTGCTCTTAGCAGTGCTTCTGTTTGGAGTCCTGTTTTTTGTAACAATTGTAGTATTGTTTGTGATACAGGCCTATGAGAGCTACAGGAAGAAAGACTACACCCAAGTGGACTACCTAATCAATGGGATGTATGCAGACTCAGAGATGTGAAAGCAATAGCAATCCAAAGCGAGGCATTCAATATATACATCTACTTGTTGTGGGAGGTCGAAAGCCATGGGTGGCTTGTCTTTCAGTTCCCTGTTCTGCCTATAAGACCAACTGAAAGTGCTTCCAAATAACCTTTGGTGCAATGTAGGAGAAATGCCATGTATTCTACTTCTAAAAGTATTTTTTTTAACCATCAGGTTGCCACTGACATATTATTTCTCAGTTTTTGCTTCTGTTGTGCCAGTTTTGTTTTGCCATTGCAAAGAGGGGCTAATGCTGCAGGCAGCCCTCCTCTGAGGACTGTGGTGCTTCCTAGGCTCCTGTTCCTCAAGTTCTGTTGATACCCTGCCTATCCCTGCATAACAAAGAGCAAAAAGGGGCTGTCTCTGCCTGCAAGGCACTGTGTTGACTGCTGCCAGTCCAGATGGATTGCAGAGGACTGGCAGCATTGGTGCAGGTGGCAGAACCCTAAAGAGTGACAGGTGCAAACCCCCCCCCTTGGCCTAGGTGGTGACCCTTCCATACGGTACGTTTCCTTTTTTTCTGCTTCCAGCTATAGCACTGAACCAGCTGCGGGAGACGCTGCTGGCTTGAGATGCAACCTTAGGAGCGATGCTTGTTGGCAGGTTATGAGTGCTGGACGGAAAGCTCTTTAGAACCGTGAGGCATTCCTAATGCTCCCTGCCAGGGGCAATGTTGGCAGAACAGGCATCTTATTTCAGTGAGCTCCCTGCTTCTTTAAAATGTGTGTACTAAGCCATGTTCATGCTGTGCTGTTTCCTAATCGTGACTGTTCTTCGCTGAGGTGCTTCTGCATCTTTATATGATTTTATTTTTGTACCCACTCAATAAATGAGGCCCTGGAGGGCATGTAAAGGTTTGCTTACTGTGTTTCCCCTCCTTCTGCCACTCCCCATTCCTCATATAAGGCCTTCTGATAACCTGAATGTGCAAGCAAACTGAGTATACTCCCTTTCTAAGATCCAGTCATTCCTGTTGCCTCGATCAAGACACTCATACACTTTCTTCTCAGCTACGTGATTCCCCACCCTGCCTCATTCCCTGTGTATCTCACTCTTGTGAACTGTTCCCAGTGCATTTAGGGCACAGGCCAGGTATATAAGCAGTCTTTGATTTCAGGGCTGCTGAGCCTTCATGGCTCCCAATCTGAATCATGACTCCCAATGATGAATGCAAAAGGTTCCAGTTTTGTGGATGGTTTAAGGCTTCATCAGACCAGCATGCATCATGCAAAAGTCATGCGGAATATGCTTAATGGAAACAACCTTTAGCTACAGCCTTGGGAGTGAGTGAACTTGGCAACAAGTCCAAGCCCCCTCACACTGTGTTAAATAAAGGTCTAATTGAGCATTCAGAGTTTGGGGTCTGATCTTCTTGGGTCCTGGGTGAAAAGGCAGTAGTTCAGCTAGTAAAGCAATTTACCTGAAAGACTTTACCGTGTGCTCATCTAACAGAGAGCCCCACAATCACATAGAGATATTCCCATTTTCATAGAACAGAGACTGGATCATCTACCAACCTTGATTTTTTTTGGATGAGGTTGACTGCTGCTTGGGCAGGATAGGAAGTCCTCCTGAGATCTTTGCCCGCTCAGATTTGACTATTTAAATTAACCCCCCAATCTTTTACAAGTGTGTTAATATTTTAATAATACCTTCACTATACACTTGCTTCTTCCAGCAGCTCTTCAACATGTAACTTGTTGGTTCAAACAAATGTTTTATAAATGGCAAGGTTATAGCTTAGTGGTAGATCATCTGCTTTTTTCATGCAGAAGGTTCCAGGCTCAATCCCTGGCATCTCCAGGTAGGGCTGGGAATGTCCCTGGAGAGCTGCTGCCAGTCAGTGTTGGCAACACTGAATTAGATGGAGCCAATGGTGCGACTTGGTGTAAGACAGCATCCTATGAGATCATCTATGGATATGACAGAATTTGCAGTGCGTGTGGGGGGAGTTTTAATACCTCTGGCCAAGGAAGAATCAGATGAATATAGCCGATTACAAAAGGCTAGCCAAATTCTGTAACCGGCAAGTTAGTTTATGAAGAAGTGGGCAGAAGGGTGGGGGGCTTCTTAGAAGCTTTGGAATGAAAGAGACTGAATGAGCTAACCTCACCATTCCTAATTCGCTTAAATTATATTTTCTCATCATACAAGTTTTCTGAAATTGTTCCATATTAGTGGCAGTATGTAGACCCCAAAGTTATACGGTATGACCTTGTTAAAGGATAACCATCAAGAAAGAACCTGTAACTTGGGCCCCCATCTGTGTTGTACCTTTAAAGCTGTGTCAAACCACTTTGGTAGTTAAGGGTGCCGAGAGTTGTTAGGAGACCTCATTGCAATGCTAGAACTCCTAGGGTTGTTAACGATTGGTCATTCTTCTCAGAGAGCTCTAGGTCTCCTAACAACACAAAGCACTCTTAACTACAATTCCCAGGGTTCTTTGAGGGAAGCCATGGCTGTTTGAAATGGTATGATACAGCTTTACAGTGGTACCTCGGGTTAAGTACTTAATTTGTTCCAGAGGTCCGTTCTTAAACTGAAACTGTTCTTAACCTGAAGCACCACTTTAGCTAATGGGGCCTCCTGCTGCCGTCGCGCCGCCGGAGCACGATTTCTGTTCTCATCCTGAAGCAAAGTTCTTAACCCGAGGTACTATTTCTGGATTAGCGGAGTCTGTAACCTGAAGCGTATGTAACCTGAAATGTATGTAACCCGAGGTACCACTGTATATATGTGTCTTATTGATGGAGCCTTGCTCTTACTTCTAGACTGAAGTAAGGGGGTCCTAATGGAGTACACGTTCTGAATTCCTCTGCAAGGCAGAATGTGGGGACCAAGTGGGAGCCAAACCACTTCACACTTCCTTTCTCAAAGTGGAGCCACTACAGTCAAGCTAACCCACCACTGCCATTCCTTCTTTAATTGTATTGCAGGTGTCCACTTGTGCCTTGTGGGGAAGGGAGCTGTTTTTTTCATTTTTAATTATTGCAATTCCCAGTGATTTCTCGAGTTAATTTGTATTTTTAGTTGTATAGACAGGGATAAGCCGATAGGGTGCACTGCTGTGCTGCTCATGCAACATATGGATTCCCTTGCCTGACAGATTCTTGAAAGCAGGCGATGTCTCCAGAACTTGAGCTTCCTGCATTCCTTGTCTGCTGTTTCTCTTTATTTTCTTGGCTGAGGACTCTTCATGTGTGTTTGTAACTATAACTCTAATTATGACTACGTTTGAATGTGAGACGTTCCACTATTGCATTGAAATGACCCAACATCCTGCTGACCTCAATTAAAAATAAATGAAACTATTTCGTTAGGAATGTACAGATTTTTTTAAAAAAAATATAAAAAACAAAACATTTGTGTACATAGTTCGTTCAGTGTCTAATGCACTGTCATGCTGGGGTAGGCAGCAAGTAAGATAAATGAGGAATCACTATGCCTGAAGCCTCCAGGCTGCTGGATTTGTCACCTTTTCCCAAGCCCTCCAGCAACATATTATGTCAGCATTTTTTTAACACTGTCAGTGTGATTGACATTTGTCATCAAAGTGCAAGATGACAGGTCTTTGCCCCTAGGAGCTTACAATCTAAAATCTAATGCAGGAGATGGAACACAGGAAGGGAAAGAAGTTGAGGCGGCGAGTACACAAGGAAAGAGAATGCAGTTCTTTCAGTTCCATGTGCCTTTTATTTTTTATAGGCCACCCAACAGCAAAATGTTTTCCAGGTGGCATAAAACAGATAAACATTGGCAGGCAGTTTTACTGTAGTCAAGGGCCAGAAACTAAGAGTGAAAACTTAACTTAGCCCTGTTGAGTGCCTAGTGCTAAAAAGATGGCAACATGGGCATCAGGCAAGCCTGTCTAGGGAGGGCATTTCATAACAGAGAGTTGGACCATCAGTCCAATCTAGCTCTGCACTGCCCACACTGACTGGCAGCTCCTCCCCAGGATTTCAGACAGGAGTCTCTCCTAGCCCGATCTCGAGATGCTGCAGATTGAACCTTGGACATTTTGCATGCAAAGCGGATGTTGTTCTGCCACTAAACTACAGTCTCTCCCCCCCCCCCTTGCAGGCTACCACCAAAACAGCTTCTTCAGTAGCAGCTGCTCCTCACCTGGCACCCAGAGAAGGTTCTCCCACAGCATAGGCCTTAAAATGAACTCTGCACTATAATCAGTTGTACTCCCTGCAGGTCTTCCCCTATTTATGCTCTAGCCATTGCCTTAAGCTTTCTAGTATTCCAGAACTTCAGGCCAAGCTCTTGTCCTGAACAGCATCTTTGAGCCCTGTGCCAGTCACCTGGGATATTTCTCCATTCCAGGGATCAGTCAGAGTTTTGACAGGACCTCTAACAATGCCAAACTGGAAAATCTTCAAGGGCCATGAGCACTCTCTGGGAATCCATCAGCCTCTGTGCCCATCCTGACTGGTCTAATTCTTGAGAGGTCAGAAGTCCCTGGAAGCCTAGATAGAACTAGGTAGCAATCTGCCTAGGTCAAAGGAGCAATAGTGATTCTGCCGCCCACCTATCACTATTGTCCTATCCAGCATAGAACACTAAGTCGAGCGTATAACTTGCCAAATGTGCAGGGCCAGATGTAACTTGGGAGAGACCAATGTCATCATGGAGGCCATGAGAACCTAGTCTATGGCCTGACAAGGGAGTCTAAGCTGTTGTAGCCCCTGTGCATCCCTCAGGTGTGCTGGAGGACGTTGTCCATTGCCTGTGTTGAAGTAAGATTCAACTACCAGTATAGACAACTTCTGCAAATGGAATTGGGGTGGATGTCTTTTGCCTTAGGTAGCAAAATAACATGGGCCAGCCCTCAGATCAGGTTGGGGTTTGTAGTTTTTATTTTATTAGGGAAGGGCCATAGTTCAGTGGAAGAGCATCTGCATGCATACAGAAAGTCCCCAAGTCCAGTCCCTGGTATGTCCAAGTAGGGCTGAGAGAGAATCCTGCCTGAATCCCTGGAGGGTCCCTGTCAGTCAGTGTAGACAATATTAAGCAATATGGATCAGTGTTCTGACTCAGTGTAAGACAGCTTTATGTATTCCTATTCAGGGCTCTTCTACAACGTCTCTCTCTCTCCCCCCCCAATAATTCAAATTCTGAGGGGCTGACATGGTGACAGAGCACAGTAACTTCATCTTGCCCCCCCCCAACCTGGAGCCTATCTTGCTGCTGTCCAGAGCAGCCAGCAGAAGGTTAACAGCCACCTGCCTCATCCAACCATACAGGCCTGGCTGGCAGTTCCCACTTACTAGCCCAACACTTTTAAGGCTCAATGGAGTATTGGCACAGCCAGCAGGAAACCCTTGGGTGAGAGAAGCCCCTCCACTGATTCACCCTGCCCTTCTGCGTGTGTGAGACAATAACTTTCATGGCTAATGGCTCTGAAATCCAGCCATAAAACTACCAGAAGCAAGCAATGAGTGAGAGACCTGGATGTAAAATTTCATTCCCTACTCGAAATTCACTTTCAGACGTGTTTCTCGGACAGAGATGTGGTTACCAAAATAGCTCGTAAAAGTTAGAACCCAATTATAGTCATCCATTAGTGATGAATAACAACTTAATTGCAAAGGACAGTAATTAGTCTGTCTGTGCAGCTCAGTGTACTTATTAATTTCAGAGAAACGATGACCACCAAGATTAGTGGCGGAAGCTGTATGAGAACCAAATTGCGGTAGAACAGGCCTAGTCACATGCAGGATCTTCTGCTCAGTTAAGGGCTTTTCTACAACTGGAGTTTTACTGTGGGTCAGTTTGGGGATTTGTGGATCAGGGAGGAAAGGAGGGGGACACCTGGTCTAGCCAGTCAGAACAACTGAATCAACCCTGGCCATCAATGGGATGAGAGATGTCACAACCAGATCACCTTCACATGCCTGTGGGGCAGTTGCCTTGACTAAGCTGACCTGCAATACAGGAAATACCTGGTAGGTGGTGGGCATATAAAACAGTATTTGCTGTGATCATGTTGTGCTGCTTAAAAGAGAGGCATATGGTTCTAGGAAAATTTAGCAAGGTCTGCATCAAAATGTGTAGAAGTGGGCATCCACCCATTGCTGTTCCCATCTGTCAGCCTCTCCCTGTGCCCCCTCCCATTTTATCTGCTCCCATCATCCATTTTGCTTGATGCTATTGACCAATCAAGTACCAGGTTTGCCCCACTTTTTTTCAAAGCAGATTTCTGTAACTACAAAGTTCTTTGTAAATTCTGGACAACCGTGCAGTTCTTTCTGATAGGGTTTTCGAAATGTAATAACCTATTTAAGGAAGAAGATTTTATTTTTTAAAGCCCCCCCCCCCAACCCTGGTGCAAACTATCCCAAGTTTCAACCAAGTAGTTGTGGTTGTAATTGACATTAGCAAAGCCAGGGCATGGCCACTTTGGACATGACCTCATTCCTGCATTCACATTAAGAAGGAGACCCATTTCTAATTCAGTGGCCATTTCAGAAACATTTTGAGTTACAAAGGCACACATTTTCACTCCAGCAATCTGAAGAGACAAGCTCTTACAGATTCACCATTTTGCTTCTGGGATGGGTGCAGCTGACACAGCAGGTCATGTAGTCTTCTGTTATCCTTTTTCAATAGCAGCGTTCAGGCTTTGGACTGAAGTGTTGGCACTTGCACAACTTGTGGGTGTTATTCTTGCTCATAACATGTAACCTTTATATTGGGTGTGGATCCTCAGCCTTGGAGGTGCTGAATGTGGCCTCCAGGCCTCCCTGTCTGGCCCTTGAGCCTTTTCCCAGACCACATACCCTCTCTAGGTCACACACAGCTCCACTAGCTCTGCCTGCCTCCCTCCTTGAGTGCTTCTGCCGAGGTGGAATGTGTCCTTAGGCTGTGACAATGCCTATCCTTGCTGAAGGATGGAGGCATGGGTGTGGGGTGAAGCCTATTGCACAAAGGCAAGAGTCACATCCATTGACCCTCCCACTCTCACTTTTGGTCCCACCACCATGGCTACCTGACTCCTGGAATGTTGCCCACGAGGAAGTGCAGCCTTTCAGCTGAAAACATTCCCCATCCCTGAGACAGAATAACCTGGGTCAAGCCACAGGCTGAAGCAAGGTCTGAACCGGAGGCCTCCAGCTCTGTATTCTTCAGGACCTGTTTTCAGGCTGAGACCCATAAGTATATTACATTTCCATTTCTGCTTTGTTTTCAAGGTACATTTAATATGTGGGCCAAAATTGTTCCGGTCCTTTGCCCCAGGCTCAGAGCAGGCAGAGTGAGGAATCCCCAGGGAAAGCCAGGTGTCTGGGTGATGGAGAAGCACATTTACTTCCTTCCTCTTCCCAGGACTTTTGAGTATTCAGAGCCCAGTGTGGGCAGCAGAAGAAAAAGACAAAGCAGGTCTGTACATTCTGTTCACAGAGCTGCTACTTCTGCTGCATATTAGGGCTGGGCCATGGGCAGCAGTCTTAGGTGAAGCCTAGGCTGAAGGGCAAGTCCAAATAAGGAGGCTAGAGCAAGCCAAAAGTAAGGACCAAAGGACAAAGCAGGAGACGGGATTAAGAAACAAGCCAGGCCCACACCAGAGCTCGGGGAGACCTTGTTGTTTTGCTTAAGAGGAACAAGAAGCCCTCTTATAGTCCTACCTGTCCAAGTGGTTCCAGTGACCAGCCTGGGAGGGTATGATCAAGCCATGGCCTGAGGATGTTGGGCCTGTGCAGATGTTGTAGCCCACTACAGGGCTTGGCAGCAAACAGAAACAAAACTTCTTAGTATAAGCTCCCAACAGCTCTTGACAACACACCGAATCATACCACTTCCATTGTGTCAAAACTCACACACAGCAAAGGGATGGAAAAAAACAGATGTACAGGAGTGTATGTCAAGTGAAAGAAAACTGATGACTGGATTTCCTATAATTGGAATCGGGCCACTGTACTGCTGTATCCAAACTACCGTATTGGTTCAAATATAAGCCGCACCCGCAAATAAGCCACAACTTTAAAATCGGGGGGGGGGGGAGAAAAAATACAGTACCCGGGCTGCTTCCTGGGGGGGGGGGGAGCCGCACCTCTTTGCCAGCAGCCTTCCCCCCCACCCCCCTTCTTTCTGGTGGCTCAGGGAAGGTTTGGGAGCGGCAGGCGGGCTGTGTGCCGTTGCCCTGTGCTCCCAGACGGCTTCCCGGGAGTGGGGAGCCGTGCTGCTTTGCTGGTCACATAAGGTAGTGAATATAAGCTGCACTTTAACTTTTCATGGTCAGAATTTTTTGTGGGGGGGAGTGTGGCTTATATTCAGGCCAATATGTATGTTACTTTGGAATGTTAAGGAAGAAATCCTTTTCCATCATGAAACAATGATATCAACATTTTAGGAAATACTAACAATATTGATTCATATTGCATCCACCCCACCCCAAAAAAGAAACCCCTCTGGCAGCTGGAGTTTCTGTTCATAACCAAGCCTGGGATGATGTATGCAGTCTGTTCCATTGGAAAGCACATGTGGATGAGCCAAGAGGGAAAGGAAGTGTGGTGACCACATGGAAGCCTTGATCCCGTGGGACACTGCATGTCTCTCGTGAGACATTAACCACAACACCCTCTTCGACTTGTGTGGGATCGGAGGGAGAGAAGGTCTCTTCAGATGTTTATCACAGAAGCAGAGCTGGGCCCTGTGGGGGCTTCTGGAGAATGTCAGGCTGCTGACGACAATGTCAGGCCCCTGCCTACCAAGGCGAGTGGACCAAATCTTGTGGCCTCTGAAAACAAACAAAAAGACTGCAGCGGAAGAGAGCATCCTGCACTGGCAGGAGAATAGACTCAGTGAGCCAGTATCTGTTTGCTCACTTTCATGTCAATGAAAGCAGAGTGTGTCTAGATTAATCAGAATGCATTTAAAAAAATAATAATCAGACACAAAAATAATATCTACCCTCCCACTGATGCAGTCTGCTATCTGTCCTCAGGCTTTTAGGATTTGTCATATTTGATATCCTGATCCTCCATCTTGCCTGTTATTCCTTGCCCAACAAGAAGGAAGCAACCAGATGAGAATATGTTGTAATAACCACCCAGCCATATGTGTGTGGCATTAGCCCAGCCTGAAAAGTTCAATGTTTCAGTTGTGAGATCTACATAAATATAGGGGTCTGTGTTTAAGCTCAAGCTAGTAAACACTGAGTCCTTCTCTATATAGGTGTGGACAAATTTGCCACAATGCAGGGAATTCAAACCAGTTTGCTAAAGCTGACAGTTTAGTCCAACTCCAAAGCATCTTTTTAAAATATGTGTGGGCAGTACCACTTGCTGGCACTCTAAATCAGAAAAAAAATGTTAAAATTTCTATTGTTATCACTACTATTGGTAAAAATCCAAAACTGATTTCTCCCCACGTGTGTGTGAGAGAGAGAGAGAGTTTCACCATCATGTTAAAGACATTTAAAAAGCAATAAAAGTTTGGTGTGTAAAAACAACAAAGACTTGGGGCAGCTTAAATATTTAAACATTTATGGTGGCATAGACTGGGCGAGTGGAAGATCATTTTGCCAAATGCATGAAAGAGTCATCTAAGTGTGTGCATGTGTGTTTGTATCTTGAGTATCGAGGATAATATTTTGTAGCACAAAGTGAGTCCAAAAGGTCCCGAGAAATGCAAAGGTACAACAGTAGGTGTATCACAATACCATGCAGAGCACACATGAATACGGAATCCAAACAAACAAAAGCAAGATCCAGTCAAGCTACCATAACTGTCACCTGTTACAGGACTAATGAGCAGCCAGGGGAGATTAACAGGGACACAGCAAGATCAACAGCGTAAACCAACCCTTCCCCAACCTGGTGCCCTCCAGATGTTTTGAGCTACAACTCCTGTCTATCACAGCCAGCATAGTCCCACTTTTGAATGTTTTTTTGTTGGAGCATCCTGAGTTTTCACATCTACAGCAAATGCTCCTAGAATGGTTTCTGAGACTTATCATTGTAATGTCCAGCTTCAGTTGCATTCATTGTCTTCTGTAGATACTGACCAATTTGACCCATGCTAATGATAAAAGGGCATTGTTTGCCGATGATGGAATGTACCACCTTAGAAGGTATGCAGGTAAGTGAAGGCTTAAAAGAATAGCTGGGGCTGGTTGGTCCATCATAGGGTCGCTTGAGCAGATGGAGTGGTTGCATTAGCAGCAGGTTTTGTATCTCCATTAGGTGATCCATAGTAGTTGAGGTCAGGTGGCTCCTTGAAAGCAAGGGCAGGTTTACCACCCAAGGCCTGTGAAAAGGAAGAAGAATATTCCAGAATGATGGGTGGCATTAGATGGAACCAGGCAGGCAGCCATAGTATGACTAGTAATCTGAGGTTGTCATGGGGAAGACAGGTGACAACCTATGTCTTCAGATCAGTGGTACTGTTATGGGTACCTGCCTGGCTTCACAATGTGTCGGTCAGTCAGATTTATTTGATAAAAAATCTATTGGTCACCCCAAAAGTATAAGAGATGCAGCTTAGCAGAAGCACTACCCAGCACATGGAACCTCATTTTGCGTGATAAATTTTTATATGTCATCAAACTCCTAAGATCTCTTTATGATATCTTGAACCCCTCAAGGACCGCTGAATACAGTTTCCAGGATTTTATGGGTAGATTTTACTACAATCTGCTCAAATTATAAAATAAAAATGTCCTGGTCATCAATGATTTTGAATAGCTTAGAATTAAGTTCACATTGTCAACTGGCCAAATACTATTTACAGACTTCTGTGCGCACGCACGCACACGCGCGCGCGCACACACACACATGCTCACACTCACACTATTTCCATGCAACCTTTGTCCAGAGCTAGCTTGCCACCCACCCACCACAGATCTTGGATGTAGGAGGCCTGCTGAACAGATTGAGTCTGCACATTTTATTCCTCAGAGACCCATGTTCTTGATAGATAAAACACGTATTATATCTGGGGGAAAGAAGCTATGGTAAAAAAGGTTATTCCTAGTTCAGTGAAATAGTTTCAATTTCCATGTGCAGGAGTCATGAAATATACTGTTACCAAATGGCATATGTCTATCTCATCCCAATTCTTCAAGCAGCAGGAAGTTCCAAGGATGGCCTGCTTACACAGCTTACCCTGAAGCCCATCGCAAGACAGCTCCTAAATTTATAGCATACGGTACTTAATGTCTGCTTGTCTCACCCACCAGCTGAAGGCTAAAGAAAACTAAAGTATTTAAGTCCTTTTTGTTTAAGCCCCTGATCATTCATTCATTCATTCATCAGGTTCCAGGGTATGCAAAAGCATAACGGTAGACCCGTTCACAATAATCAAGGCAGCCAAACTTGTAACGTTTTGTGTTGTTATTGTGTATTAATATTTACATTGCCATGCATTAAGGGTTGCTATTGCTACTTTCCATGTATGAACACAGGCTAAGGGCCCATCTGGTCCAGCATCCTGTTCTGCCAGATGTGTGTGGGAGGTGAGGAGTTGAGTCAAATTTGCATACCTTGACTTCTTTCTTTCCTTAATAATGTGAAGGTTTTAAATATGTGGAGTGGGCTGCTCTGTGTGCTGGTCTTTCTTAGGTTTGTGAACACCTTTTCTGTAAGGCTTTTTACTCATAGGAATTGTGTTGTATGTGAATTTTTGTTTTTGTCTGCTTCTATGGTTGTTTTTATTTCGAATGTGTGTGTGAGCTGTCTTCTGTATTTAATATCAGTTTGATATTGATAGCCACCAGCCATTTCTTCCTTTCAACAAAGTGTGTGTGTTTGATGATGCAGTTTTTGTGACATCTTTGGGGCCAAAGTAAGAATGTTTACAAAAAAAATAATCTGAAAGGAGTTACGACCAGTGAGTCATAATTATTTGGCCTTCGTATGTACCTGGTGCTTCAACTGATGTATACAAAAACTTGTTGGGTGCCCTCCACAATGCCTACCACCTCACCTTCCCAAAAAGTGGCACCTCCTGTCCTAGAGCTCTTAGAAGCTTTTGATACCATTGATGACTCTGTGTGTGTGTGTGTGTGTGTGTGTGTGTGTGTGTGTGTGTTTCCAGACTGCCTGTCTGAATTGGAACTGGAAACAGTGGAGCAGCTAGGGCATGACAAGGATAACCCTCTCCCCATTTGTTCTCACTATGCTATGCATTTCCTGAAAAGAGAGATACCCCTAAATGCCGGGCTCACCCAACACATAATCCTCCAGAGAAGAGGTACTAGCTGAGATGGCACAGGATGGCAGTGATGCACTGTGGAAACTTATTTACACTATTTATAAGCCACCTTCAGCGCAAGTTCCCTCAAGTCAGCATGCAGTGACCATTTTAAAATGAGATAAAGTCACACAATAAATTATTAACAAAAAAACCCTACCAATTATTTCTTCATATTGTTTTGGCATCCAACTGGAATGGCCATTAAGAGCCGCACAGTGGAGGGCTGGATTGACTAGTGACGTCTCTGCATCCATCTGTCTATATGTTCATGTGCAACCAAAGCTATAAGGTACAGGTCTGTGCTTTAAAGAGTCGTGGCCAAGCACCTTTTATTTTTTATTTTTCCCTGGCACTTTCCCCATGAAAACCTGCCTTTTACTGCTGAATCAGAACAAACAGCAATTTGGGTTTTCTGCAGATTGTCGTTTGCTCTGATTCAGCAGTACATAGATGGTATTTGCGGGGAAAGCACCAGGGCAAAAGAAAAGTGATTGGACATCAAGCTGTAAAGCATTGGCCTGTGCCTAGAAACACAGCGCAGAAGGAAGTCTGGATGAGCCCTAAATCTCCACCCGTTTCAGATTTGTATTCTGATCCACTACCCTTTGCTCTTTGTGAACAGTAATCCAATCAGATGTGTATTCATGTATTGCATCTAGTGTCCCGATTCTGGTATGTCTTATGTATGTTTTATGATTATGAATTTATTGAACGATGGCTCCTTGTTTGAATAATTTGAGACATACAAATTGCAACTTACAGTAAATGTGCCTGTGATCCAGCAGGTGTGACATGTTACCATTTCCCTTAAAGCTTTTTGCTGACATCAACTACTGCTGCTTCTATAACCACCAAAACAATTTCATACTAACATGTTATTTGCCTTATTTGTGTGTGAGGCTTAAATATAGAAGATGGCTGGCTATTATTAAGCTTGACACTGCCAGTAAACAAAACAAAAAACAAAAAAAAAACAACCCTAAAAAACTGATGAAAATTGTCAACATATTGATTTTATTTATTGATATATATCTTGCCCTTCAATTAACAAAATACATTATTTTTTGTACTTCACAGTACAAATGTCTACATCAAAAGAAGTTAGTTTAAAGTTAAAGCTCACCTGAGCTTGGTTAGAAATATTTTGAGGTTACTACAAAAACCTGTCAGTTCTAGATCCAGTGGAAACTTTGTAGAAGATAACGGTCTCCATCTAAGCAATATTTACGTGCTCTGCACCAGTTTCACAGACACCACAGACCTAAACTGTGGTTAACTGCCCTTGGACTTCGTTTGAGGAATTTTTATTTGGGTCAGCATGTCCAAGTTGTTTTCTAGCTGAGGAATTGTGGGTAACGCCTCAAAAAACAGTTTCCTCTTCTGAAATCTGCCCTAGTTGACAAATGTTTCTTTCTTTCCAGATAATGTAGGGAAAGTGTGTGTTACTATTTTGAGAGAGGATGAATGACATCTGTTACTCACACCCCCAGCCACAGCCACAGCTGTTGCTCTTTATTAGCTTCACTAATGGATTCTTTTATCTGTATAAGCTTCTAGTGATGTCATGCTTGCCTTCCACCCATCCTACTTGTTCTGCGCAACCTGTCTGGATACGCTGAATGAAGGTATGCAGATTCAGGAGCAGTTGTGCTTTCGTCCCTACCTCCAGAGCCACAAATGTGTCACCATGGTCTCGTCCACTTTGCCTCTCTGGCCAGAGCACAGGGAAAGGAAGCGATTCTCATCTGTGAGCCAGAGAGAGAGCTTGATGGCAGGAAACCAGGTGGAGGAAGTCGCATTACTCTCCAGCAACAATCCCAGCCGCAGCTGCGACTGAATCATGCATGGTGCAGTAAAGAGGTTATGGCATGCCCATTAACCTTTAGGGAGGGAGGGAGGGAGGGAGGGAGGGAGGAAGGAAGGAAGGAAGGAAGGAAGGAAGGAAGGAAGGAAGGAAGGAAGGAAGGAAGGAGAACTTTGTCTTCCTTCTTCTCTGTTCCTAACCTGCCTCTTTGCAAAGAATGGTTCAGTGTGAAAGTTTGCAAGCATGTGGATCGTTCAGCAAAACATCCTTTTTTAAAAAAAAAAATATTTTATTAAATTTTCAAATACATAACAAGCAATACACAAGATCCCTTCACCAAAAAAATAACACACAAAAAAACCAAAACAAGTACACCAAAAAGCAACAAAGAAAGATAGAGATAAAAAAGAGATAAAGTAAAAAGATTAAAAAAGAAACCCACAATTTTTATATAACTAACTGGACTTCCTCACATCTCCTTTACCCTGCATTATTTATAATAAAAATATCAGCAAATTATTACCTTGTTTCATACCTTATTTTGTACCTTCCAAATATTATACTTCTAAATTTAAAGTAGTTTTTATCAATTACTCATACCTTAAATTTAAACATAGTGTTTCCTTAAATTTCGACCTTTTCTTACTTATAACTTAATTTTCTATTTTACAAAAACTATTTGCTGGAGCTGAAGTTTTCAAAATCGTGCAAGTACTTAGCATTCATACAACTTATATTGTTTTTGTAAATAGTCCTTGAACTTCCTCCAGTCCTCTTCCATTGTTCCTTCTCCCAAGTCTCGGATTCTGCCAGTCATTTCAGCCAGTTCCATATAGTCCATCAATTGTGTCTGCCACTCTTCCAAGGTGGGCAAGTCTTGTGTCTTCCAATGCTTTGCAATAAGTATTCTTGCTGCTGTTGTCGCATACATAAAGAAAGTTCTGTCCTTCTTTAACACTTTCTGGCCGACAATGCCCAGGAGGAAGGCCTCCAGTTTCTTAGCAAAGGTATATTTAAATACCTTTTTTAACTCATTATGGATCATTTCCCAAAAGGCCTTCACTTTTGGGCATGTCCACCAGAGGTGAAAAAATGTCCCCTCAGACTCTTTACATTTCCAACATTTATTATCAGACAGGTGATATATTTTTGCAAGCTTGACTGGGGTCATGTACCACCTATATATCATTTTCATAATATTCTCCTTCAAGGCATTACATGCCGTGAATTTTATTCCGGTGGTCCATAACCTTTCCCAGTCCTCAAACATGATGTTATGCCCAATATCCTGTGCCCATTTTATCATGGCTGATTTAACTGTCTCATCCTGAGTATTCCATTTAAGCAGCAAGTTATACATTCTCGAAAGTACCTTAGTCTTTGGTTCCAACAGTTCTGTCTCTAATTTCGACTTTTCCACCTGGAATCCTATCTTTTTATCCAATTTAAACACCTCTTGAATTTGAGCATAATGTAACCAATCTTGCACCTTATTTTTTAATTTCTCCAAGCTCTGCAACCTCCAATTATCTCCAGTTTTTTCTATTATTTCCCAATATTTCGGCCAACCGGCCTCCATATTGAGTCTTTTCCGGGCCTTAGCCTCCATTGGTGATAGCCATCTCGGAGTCTTACTTTCTAATAAGTCTTTATATTTTGTCCAGACAATAAATATTGCTTTTCTGACAATATGGTTTTTGAACATTTTATGAAGCTTTACCTTGTCATACCACAAGTATGCATGCCAACCAAAAGCATTGTTGAACCCTTCCAGATCTAGGACATCAGTGTTCTCAAGGAGTAGCCAATCTTTCATCCAGCAGAAAGCTGCAGCTTCATAGTACAACTTTAAATCTGGCAGGGCAAACCCCCCTCTTTCTTTTGCATCAGTTAGTATTTTAAATTTTATTTGGGGCTTTTTGCCCTGCCAGATAAATTTGGAAATGTCTTTCTGCCATTTTCCAAAGCATTCCACTCTGTTCACAATCTGTAGAGTTTGAAACAAAAACAACATCTTTGGCAATACATTCATCTTTATAGCTGCAATTCGACCCCAACAAGGAAAGTTTCAATCTTGACCAAGTTTCTAAATCCTTTTTAATTTCTGACCAACATTTTTCATAATTGTCTTTAAATAAATTCAAATTTTTAGCAGTCAAATTAACCCCTAGGTGTATCACTTTTTTAACCACGTTTAACTCTGTCTCTTTCCGAAACCTTTCTGATTCCAAATATGTCAGATTTTTTTACCAAAACCTTAGTTTTTTTGCTTATTCAGTTTGAATCCCGCCACCCGACCAAACTCATATATCAGTTCCAAAACTCTTTTCGTACTAGATTCTGGCTCCTGTAATGTTATTACCAAGTCATCTGCAAAAGCTTTCAGTTCATTCAGCAAAACATCCTGAAGCACACCTTAAATTAAAAGCTATCAAATTTCTCATGCATTATCCTTTGTGGACTAGAGACCATGCATCTGATGAGGTTCACAAAAGATTTTAAAACAGCCCTGCTGGATCAGGCCAATGGCCTATGTAGTCCAGCATTCTGTTTTCACAGTGGCCACCAGATGCCTGTGAAAAGCCTGCAAGCTGGAGCTGAACCACAACATCACTGTCTGCTCGTGCAGTTTCCAGCAACTGGTGTTCAGATGCATACTGCCTCTGACCACGAAGGCAGGGCATGACCACTGTGGCTTGCAGCCACTGATAGCCTTCTCCTCCAGGGGCTTATGCCATAATACTTGTGTTAGTATTTAAGGTGTTACAGAACTCAGACTATTGTAGTGAAAGCAAGAGACATGGCTACCCTCTAGAAATCAATCATCCAGGAGGAACATGACCACTGTTGTTGTTGTTGTTTAGTCATTTAGTCATGTCCGACTCTTTGTGACCCCATGGACCAGAGCACGCCAGGCACTCCTGTCTTCCACTGCCTCCCGCAGTTTGGTCTAATTCATGTTCGTAGTTTCAAGAACACTACCCAACCATCTCGACCTCTGTCATCCCCTTCTCCTTGTGCCCTCCATCTTTCCCAACATTAGGGTCTTTTCCAGGGAGTCTTCTCTTCTCGTGAGGTGGCCTCAGTATTGGAGTATTGGAGCCTCAGCTTCACGATCTGTCCTTCCAGTGAGCACTCAGGGCTGATTTCCTTCAGAATGGATAGGTTTGATCTTCTTGCAGTCCATGGGACTCTCAAGAGTCTCCTCCAGCACCATAATTCAAAAAACATGACCATTAGGGAACCATATTTGAACTGCAGCTCCCTAGTATGGACAAGCATGATAGGTTGCATCCATGTAGCTTATGAAATGGCCTTATAAACAGTGCATTTTAGCATTTCTGATCTGACTTAAAATATGCATGCACAAAGCAGGTAGAATACTAGCCATGATCACTTTGTTCTGCCCCTACTGTTAGAAACAGCAGGACTCTTCTAATGTGCTTTTCAATAGGAATATATATATATATATATATATGCAGGTTTTGGTGTCCTCGGGTTGTCTTCCCGTGTAAAAGTTGGGGTGTCTAGGCGACGTTTCGACGAGGTCTCACTCGTCATCTTCAGGCTGGTGCTTTCGGCTTCTTGTTACTGGAACAGAGCAGGATCTCAGTGTTTGAGTTCCTATAAATACTGTTGAGGGGGTGTGGTGTATAGCCTCCAATGTTCTGGGCAGAGAGGAAGTTCCCAGGCTAGTGTGCCTTTTCTTCTTTTGTTCCTTAATTACTTGAGGGATATCTTGAGTGATTTCTTGAGTGATATCCTGAGTACCACTTAGGTGGGTCATTAGGTGTGGATTAGTTGCTAAAGCCTTCGTGTCTTGACTTCTTGAACTTTGTGAAGAGTTTTTCTGAGAAGATGGCTGTACTGCACTTAGTTGTGCTCTGGCTTGGCTTCGTGTATAGGGGCGAGCTGTGGTTTTGTGTCCTGTGCCAGCCAGATCTGTGTAGGGATTGCAGGGGGGTGCAGCATCCGGAGGTGCCACCATGGTTTGGCTACTGGATGGTGTCTGTAATTTATCTGTGGAGAGGGTCTGGGTTTGGGTCTGGTGTGGTTGATTGGTGATGGCGTTCTGTGTGCCTCTGGATCTGGTGTCGGTTTTTTGTGGGGAGGGCTAATTTCCAGATGTCTGGCAGGCGGGATGTGTCGTCACGCTTGTTCATGTTGTGAGGGTGTTTCTCTATCTCGATGGCTTCCATGATTATTCTCTTGTGGTGATGTTCCATGTTAGAGAGCAATTTGGAATCTGCAAAATTAATTTCGTGTCCTGTTTCTTTCATGTGTTGGAAAAGAGAGGAAGTTTTTTTCTTCTTTTTTGACGGCATTCTTGTGTTCTGCGATAACGTGCATTTATTCGTCTGTTTGTTTGTCCAATGTACGTGGCTGGGCAGACTTTGCAGGGTATTTCATAGACCCCTTGGTTTTCCAACTGGATTTTATCCTTGGGGTTTCTGAGATATTGCTATGTTTTTGATTGTGTCTCTGGTCTCTTGTTTTGTTTTTGGCCAGAATTTGTGATCCGTAAAAGGAGAGATCATGAAGGACCCTTCAAACAAACAACACAGGAAAGTCTGTTGGAGAGCAGGAGCTACTGAATAAAACAAGACTTGCTGAGACAGAAACAAAAGTGCCTCTTTTGCCAAAAGCTCCAGAGAGGAAGGTAGCAGAAGGTACTGCAGTCAGCACAACTACCACTGCCACTTCCACGATCGCTGCCATCTCCCAAGGTAGAGCAACAGCCATAACCACAGCTAGTAACAACGTACCACAACTCATGGTAACACAACTCGTGGCATCCCAAATGTGACTTCTGGTCCCAGCACTCCCCCTCAAAACCATTGTTGCCTCCCACACCTTTCCATTAACTGAAAGTGCTATTACTGTTAACAGTACATCAAGTTCAAAAGGGGCGCAGACCAGTAAGTTAACTTTGGGAGCTGCTAACACAACAGAAACTCCTCCCAGGACTATTCCTACTTCTTTTGCCACAGCAGCAAACAATCCAGTGCTTCCCATAACCCTCAAAACAGGTATGGCAACTGGCACTCTTGTACCAGTGAACTCTAGCAGTGTTGGAAGCAGCTCAAGAAGCCCAGTAAACTCATCTTCAAATGCAGCTGCCCAAAATCCACCAGCATCAGCCACCCAGAATTCACTAACTACAGCCACCCAGAATCTATCAGCTTCAACCACCCAGAATCCACTAACTACAGCCACCCAGAATCCAACAGCCTTCAACAGCCACTGGCATATCTCAGACAACCAAGAGACCAACCACAGTAGCAACAAAGTCAGCTGAACTCACAACAATTGTAAAAACAACTCCAGATAGGGTAATGCCTCGTGTGACTGCAAAGGGTGCTGAAACCACCACCGCTGCAGAGCAACCTGCGAGTGCTACGCGTCAACCAGTGCTTGTCACAACTTATATAAATCCCTTGTCAGTGGTTTGCAACGAAAAGTCCAGTGGCACCGCCCAAATCAGTAACCATAAACCAAGGCCAAGATCAGCAGGACACAGGTAGTGAGGGTAGCTATCGTCCAGTAGATGTTAGTTTGCTCTTAGCAGTGCTTCTGTTTGGAGTCCTGTTTTTTGTAACAATTGTAGTATTGTTTGTGATACAGGCCTATGAGAGCTACAGGAAGAAAGACTACACCCAAGTGGACTACCTAATCAATGGGATGTATGCAGACTCAGAGATGTGAAAGCAATAGCAATCCAAAGCGAGGCATTCAATATATACATCTACTTGTTGTGGGAGGTCGAAAGCCATGGGTGGCTTGTCTTTCAGTTCCCTGTTCTGCCTATAAGACCAACTGAAAGTGCTTCCAAATAACCTTTGGTGCAATGTAGGAGAAATGCCATGTATTCTACTTCTAAAAGTATTTTTTTTAACCATCAGGTTGCCACTGACATATTATTTCTCAGTTTTTGCTTCTGTTGTGCCAGTTTTGTTTTGCCATTGCCAAAGAGGGGCTAATGCTGCAGGCAGCCCTCCTCTGAGGACTGTGGTGCTTCCTAGGCTCCTGTTCCTCAAGTTCTGTTGATACCCTGCCTATCCCTGCATAACAAAGAGCAAAAAGGGGCTGTCTCTGCCTGCAAGGCACTGTGTTGACTGCTGCCAGTCCAGATGGATTGCAGAGGACTGGCAGCATTGGTGCAGGTGGCAGAACCCTAAAGAGTGACAGGTGCAACCCCCCCCCCTTGGCCTAGGTGGTGACCCTTCCATACGGTACGTTTCCTTTTTTTCTGCTTCCAGCTACAGCACTGAACCAGCTGCGGGAGACGCTGCTGGCTTGAGATGCAACCTTAGGAGCGATGCTTGTTGGCAGGTTATGAGTGCTGGACGGAAAGCTCTTTAGAACCGTGAGGCATTCCTAATGCTCCCTGCCAGGGGCAATGTTGGCAGAAACAGGCATCTTATTTCAGTGAGCTCCCTGCTTCTTTAAAATGTGTGTACTAAGCCATGTTCATGCTGTGCTGTTTCCTAATCATGACTGTTCTTCGCTGAGGTGCTTCTGCATCTTTATATGATTTTATTTTTGTACCCACTCAATAAATGAGGCCCTGGAGGGCATGTAAAGGTTTGCTTACTGTGTTTCCCCTCCTTCTGCCACTCCCCATTCCTCATATAAGGCCTTCTGATAACCTGAATGTGCAAGCAAACTGAGTATACTCCCTTTCTAAGATCCAGTCATTCCTGTTGCCTCGATCAAGGACACTCATACACTTTCTTCTCAGCTGCGTGATCCCCCACCCTGCCCTCATTCCCTGTGTATCTCACTCTTGTGAACTGTTCCCAGTGCATTTAGGGCACAGGCCAGGTATATAAGCAGTCTTTGATTTCAGGGCTGCTGAGCCTTCATGGCTCCCAATCTGAATCATGACTCCCAATGATGAATGCAAAAGGTTCCAGTTTTGTGGATGGTTTAAGGCTTCATCAGACCAGCATGCATCATGCAAAAGTCATGCGGAATATGCTTAATGGAAACAACCTTTAGCTACAGCCTTGGGAGTGAACTTGACAACAAGTCCAAGCCCCCTCACACTGTGTTAAATAAAGGTCTAATTGAGCATTCAGAGTTTGGGGTCTGATCTTTATGGGTCCTGGGTGAAAAGGCAGTAGTTCAGCTAGTAAAGCAATTACCTGAAAGACTTTACAGTGTGCCCATCTAACAGAGAGCCCCACAATCACATGGAGACATTCCCATTTTCATAGAACAGAGACTGGATTATCTACCAACCTTGATTTTTTTGGGATGAGATTGACTGCTGCTTGGGCAGGATAGGAAGTCCTCCTGAGATCTTTGCCCTCTCATATTTGACTATTTAGATTACCCCCCCATCTTTTACAAGTGTGTTAATATTTTAATAATGCCTTCACTATACACTTGCTTCTTCCAGCAGCTCTTCAACATGTAACTTGTTGGTTCAAACAAATGTTTTATAAATGGCAAGGTTATAGCTTAGTGGTAGATCATCTGCTTTTTTCATGTAGAAGGTTCCAGGCTCAATCCCTAGCATCTCCAGGTAGGGCTAGGAATGTCCCTGGAGAGCTGCTGCCAGTCAGTGTTGGCAACACTGAATTAGATGGAGCCATTGGTGTGACTTGGTGTAAGACAGCATCCTATGAGATCATCTATGGATATGGCAGAATTTGCAGTGTGTGTGGGGGGAGTTTTGATACCTCTGGCCAAGGAAGAATCAGATGAATATAGCCGATTACAAAAGGCTAGCCAAATTCTGTAACCGGCAAGTTAGTTTATGAAGAAGTGGGCAGAGGGGGGGGGCTTCTTAGAAGCTTTGGAATGAAAGAGACTGAATGAGCTAACCTCACCATTCCTAATTCGCTTAAATTATATTTTCTCATCATATAAATTTTCTGAAATTGTTCCATATTAGTGGCAGTATGTAGACCCCAAAGTTATACGGTATGACCTTGTTAAAGAATAACCATCAAGAAAGAACCTATAACTTGGGCCCCATCTGTGTTGTACCTTTAAAGCTGTGTCAAACCACTTTGGTAGTAAAGGATGCTGAGAGTTGTTAGGAGACCTCATTGCAAATGCTAGAACTCCTAGGGTTGTTAACGATTGGTCATTCTTCTCAGAGAGCTCTAGGGTCTCCTAACAACACAAAGCACTCTTAACTACAATTCCCAGGGTTCTTTGAGGGAAGCCATGGCTGTTTTGAAATTGTATGATACAGCTTTACAGTGGTACCTCGGGTTAAGTACTTAATTTGTTCCAGAGGTCCGTTCTTAAACTGAAACTGTTCTTAACCTGAAGCACCACTTTAGCTAATGGGGCCTCCTGCTGCCGTCGCGCCGCCGGAGCACGATTTCTGTTCTCATCCTGAAAGCAAAGTTCTTAACCCGAGGTACTATTTCTGGATTAGCGGAGTCTGTAACCTGAAGCATATGTAACCTGAAATGTATGTAACCCGAGGTACCACTGTATATATGTGTCTTATTGATGGAGCCTTGCTCTTACTTCTAGACTGAAGTAAGGGGGTCCTAATGGAGTACACGTTCTGAATTCCTCTGCAAGGCAGAATGTGGGGACCAAGTGGGAGCCAACCACTTCACACTTCCTTTCTCAAAGTGGAGCCACTACAGTCAAGCTAACCCACCACTGCCATTCCTTCTTTAATTGTATTGCAGGTGTCCACTTGTGGGGAAGGGAGCTGTTTTTTTCATTTTTAATTATTGCAATTCCCAGTGATTTCTCGAGTTAATTTGTATTTTTAGTTGTATAGACAGGGATAAGGCCAATAGGGGTGCACTGCTGTGCTGCTCATGAAACATATGGATTCCCTTGCCTGACAGATTCTTGAAAGCAGGCGATGTCTCCAGAACTTGAGCTTCCTGCATTCCTTGTCTGCTGTTTCTCTTTATTTTCTTGGCTGAGGACTCTTCATGTGTGTTTGTAACTATAACTCTAATTATGACTACGTTTGAATGTGAGACGTTCCACTATTGCATTGAAATGACCCAACATCCTGCTGACCTCAATTAAAAATAAATGAAACTTATTTCGTTAGGAATGTACAGATTTTTTAAAAAAAATATAAAAAACAAAACATTTGTGTACATAGTTCGTTCAGTGTCTAATGCACTAGGTCTGTCATGCTGAGGAATCACTATGCCTGATGCCTCCAGGCTGCTGGATTTGTCACCTTTTCCCAAGCCCTCCAGCAACATATTATGTCAGCATTTTTTAGCACTGTCAGTGTGATTGACATTTGGCATCAAAGTGCAAGATGACGGGTCTTTGCCCCTAGGAGCTTACAATCTAAAATCTAATGCAGGAGATGGAACACAGGAAGGGAAAGAAGTTGAGGCGGCGAGTACACAAGGAAAGAGAATGCAGTTCTTTCAGTTCCATGTGCCTTTTATTTTTTATAGGCCACCCAACAGCAAAATGTTTTCCAGGTGGCATAAAACAGATAAACATTGGCAGGCAGTTTTACTGTAGTCAAGGGCCAGAAACTAAGAGTGAAAACTTAACTTAGCCCTGTTGAGTGCCTAGTGCTTAAAAAGATGGCAACATGGGCATCAGGCAAGCCTGTCTAGGGAGGACATTTCATAACAGAGAGTTGGACCATCAGTCCAATCTAGCTCTGCACTGCCCACACTGACTGGCAGCTCCTCCCCAGGATTTCAGACAGGAGTCTCTCCTAGTCCGATCTCGAGATGCTGCAGATTGAACCTTGGACATTTTGCATGCAAAGCGGATGTTGCTCTGCCACTAAACTACAGTCCCTCTCTCCTCCCCCCCCCCCCCCCGCAGGCTACCACCAAAACTGCTTCTTCAGTAGTAGCTGCTCCTCACTTGGCACCCAGAGAAGGTTTTCCCCACAGCATAGGCCTTAAAATGAACTCTGCACTATAATCAGTTGTACTCCCTGCAGGTCTTCCCCTATTTATGCTCTAGCCATTGCCTTAAGCTTTCTAGTATTCCAGAACTCCAGGCTAAGATCTTGTCATGAACAGCATCTTTGAGCCCTGTGCCAGTCACCTGGGATATTTTTCCATTCCAGGGATCAGTCAGAGTTTTGACAGGACATCTAACAATGCCAAACTGGAAAATCTTCAAGGGCCATGAGAATCCATCAGCCTCTGTGCCCATCCTGACTGGTCTAATTCTTGAGAGGTCAGACGTCCCTGGAAGCCTAGATAGAACTAGGTAGCAATCTGTGATTCTGCAATAGTGATTCTGCCACCCACCTATCACTATTGTCCTATCCAGCATAGAACACTAAGTCGAGTGTATAACTTGCCAAATGTGCAGGGCCAGATGTAACTTGGGAGAGACCAATGTTATCATGGAAGCCATGAGAACCTAGCCTATGGCCTGACAAGGGAGTCTAAGCTGTTGTAGCCCCTGTGCATCCCTCAGGTGTGCTGGAGGACGTTGTCCATTGCCTGTGTTGAAGTAAGATTCAACTACCAGTATAGACAACTTCTGCAAATGGAATTGGGGTGGATGTCTTTTGCCTTAGGTAGCAAAATAACATGGGCCAGCCCTCAGATCAGGTTGGGGTTTGTAGTTTTTATTTTATTAGGGAAGGGCCATAGTTCAGTGGAAGAGCATCTGCATGCATACAGAAAGTCCCCAAGTCCAGTCCCTGGTATGTCCAACTAGGGCTGAGAGAGAATCCTGCCTGAATCCCTGGAGAGTCCCTGTCAGTCAGTGTAGACAAAATTAAGCAATATGGATCAGTGTTCTGACTCAGTGTAAAACAGCTTTCTGTATTCCTATTCAGGGCTCTTCTACAACGTCTCTCCCCCCCCCCCCAATAATTCAAATTCTGAGGGGTTGACATGGTGACAGAGCACAGCAACTTCATCTTGCCCCCTCCCCCCCCCAACCTGGAGCCTATCTTGCTGCTGTCCA